CACATGTATAGGACTTTGTCCTATTCACTTAAAGAAAATAAAAACACTTTAAAATGATTTTCTTCTTGTAAGTGTAAAAATATAAAATCAAAGACAAAGAAAATAAACAATAAAAAGGTTTTTTTTCACCAGGGTGACCCTTACAGAGTATTTGTGCTAATTTTGTTGCTTGTTTTCAGATTTGAAAGATTTCAAGTGAATATTCAGTTATCTGCTYCACTAAGAACAATTCCCTCTAACCACTCCTCCACAGCGGCCACAGAGATGGAGGCCCTGCAGCAGGGTCAGCTGTCTGTCTGATYTTTCCATGAAAAGGTGAGCCAGTGGCCACCACAGGAGCTGCCCTGCGCCTCATCTTATTATTCCATTAGGATTTCATGTTCAGTCACTTGTTCTATTCTAAGARCATATTAAGATGGACCCTGTGGAGAAAATGAGACACAATTTGATTAGCTGAAAAATGGTTTGGAGTCTTTATGGTGCTGGAGACTGAATCAGTTTAACTCTGTTCATAATTAACATGAGCTGCAGCAGAAAACATTTAAGCATTTAAATCTGTTCACTTTTGATTTGACACAGAAACACTGAGGCACCTGCAACTTTATGAGAAAACTAGAAGTACAAAATAATGTTAGCATTGAAACAAACGATCCTGTTCTGTGTTTTCACATTTTTTATTTGTTTTCAAAACTTTGTCACTTGAATGTTTTGGTCTACAGACATTTTTTTCTCCAGTTTATCTATGAGAACATGTTACGTTTTGTCAGTTTCTATTCTTACAAAACCAAGTCCTACATTAGTTTGATTTCCATCCATCCATCCATCCATCCATCCATCCATCCATCCATCCATCCATCCATCCATCCATTCTTTTAAATCTGGTGAGAGAAGTGGGGAGACTCCATGAGTTCTGATCCATTCCATCCAAGAACCAGGACCGGTCCTACACCATGTAACCAACTTACATTATAATTCAGAGCATATGTTGAAGTAACTAAAGCCTGAGCAACATTTTGAACTGACTYCTGGGTTGTTTTATAAAAAGTTAAATTCATAATTTGGACTTTTTTCACTGTTCTCTCAGGTAAACAGACARATTTTGTTGTTTTTATTGTAGCTTATTGACATTACATTAAATAAAGTTGACCAGTCTAAAATCTCTAAATTATTTATTTGTCTTTGGAAAGAAACATAAAACAAATGAGGGAATTAAAGATGCTTCGGCTGCAGAAAACCTCCACCTGTTGGAGGTGTGTTTGTGATCAGAAGACGCTGCCCTTCAGCTGGGGTCAGATAAATCGGTTGACCTTTTCCTCCATCTTCCTTCTTGTGTGCAGAGTTTGTGTCAGTGGGTTCTGAGTGTGAAGAAAAACTACAGAAAGAACGTGGCCTATCACAACTGGAGACATGCYTTCAACACGGCACAGTGCATGTTTGCTCTCCTCAAGTCCGGACGCTTTCAGGTGGGTGACTTTTAGAAAACTAATAATCACATTTAGCTCATCTATAAATGCTAAACCRCAGAAACGGTTTTCTACCAGAGGAATCAGTAACATCTCAGTCAGCTGAATCCAACACTATAAACTGACTGAAGCTGTAGCCACGATTAACTGATAACGTCACAAAAATCATCTTAGTCATTAAAACAATACAACTAAAGCTAAAAGGACCTGCTCACTGACTTCCTTCAGACTCAGCTGATTCCAAAAGTAACGAGCAGAACGTCTTTAATTTAGTGTTTGCTTGTGTTTCTCTTTTTGTTCGGTTTTTTTAACCTAAGAACTCACAAAAACACAACAACCCCGCCGAACATTAAAACAATGACAACAG